CTTAGGTCAGACGATACGATTATCAAATCGATCATCGACTTCTGTGCACAAGCTTCCCGGTACCAGATGTGCTGATGCACTTTTCGGTGCTCGAAGAAGGTGTTCATAATAGACAATCCGTTAATCCAATAATTTATTCAACTGATTATATTTACTTGACAATTTTAAATTACAGTTACAGCTTTATATGAATACAGTAATAGTAAATCTGATCTTTTCATATGACACGAGGAAGAATGGTTCGAATGCTAGATATGGTCACAAAGAGTGGAATCTCAAATTCAAGCGATTAAATGAGGATTCGAATCATCAGAGGATTGGTTTGAGCAAACTAGGTACTGAACATGGCTCTTCGAAATGCCTTCACTTGCGAGCCTTTGGTATAGAACGGAGATGTTCTGGACATGTTAACAACATGCCACGTACAGCAGAGTGTCTTAGCAAAGTTAAGTTGAAAACGGCCTAGATTCAGGCTGCGGACCAAATGACTGATTATATAAAAAATCTGGCATTTTTGTGCCTTCGAATCCAGCCCATATAACTTATTATGGGGCGCGGTAACACAGTGGCAGAGATCGATTTTGAATCTGGGGTTGACGGATTCTGACCCGGATAAGGGACGATTTTTTTTTTACTGTGAATTCCTTCAACAAGTAATTTACATCACGTTGCTTTGGTGCAATCGTTCGAGAAACGGGTAGCATGCTTGAACTGTGAAGGCGAACCAGCATGGTCTTCTGGTGTAGCCATACCAAAATGAACGAGGTGTACGGCCATTTTGCCTAATACAGGTGCCTCTGAATGCTGCAAGTGTTCTGACGCATTCGATGGCTGCTTATTTAATGTGATATTCACCTGAAAAGTGTAACCAGTGTTGTTGTTGCGGTTCACTGGCGAAGGACAGGGACCTTTGAAAAAGCCTCCTGGACCAGCTGCCTTCCCCGTCCCCGTCGACATACAAGAAATGCTGACCACTGAAGATAAATAATTGATTTTCAGCAAAAAAATAACAGCTTTGTTCAAACCTTATATCACGTCCAACTTTTAATAAAGTTACATGGAAGACAGCCATGGGGCAGACCTACGACCAAGAATGATCAAGCGTATTGACACTCGCATTTTTGCACTTTGAGATGGTAGCGATTGTCAGAGTTACTAGAATAGAGACACTAGTGATATCTCATGAAGCTACTGCTTCCTCGATCAGAATAAAATTTCATTCTAAGTATATGAACGAACGGAAGAACCACTGAATGGAATGAATGGCATGATTTGCTATTTCTCACACCCTCCTTGATATCTTTTGATCCAAGTGACAGAGTAATGTTTCATTTTTTTATTTCTGAGTGTCATCGGTGTAGCGTATTCTGAACCGTCCCTTCGCTGTCTAACCCCGGAAATGTCATCCTTGAATCAGAAGATAGACGGTATTGTTAAAAGAAATTATCATTCGTCCATTCGGTATTAACGTGGTGTATAAAAGCTTTGACATCGCAGTGTCCATCTTTGATGCAAATTTTCCTCATTTTTCCTCATGCTTTCATTGTATTTTTGTTATCGTAGCCTCTTTAGGTTCATAACAGTTACTCGTCTTCATTGATTCATACCTTTATTCGTCACCCAGTTATGCTTTCGGTCACTACTTCCATTATTCGCTCCTTTATTGTTATTTTCGTCTTGTAACAATGTAACAATACGGTTATACGGTGCACTGATGTTGTTGTTCTATGTTTTAGTCGTGAGTCATGTTATTGTCTGTGTGAATTAGTTTTACGGCTATGCGTTTCCGCCCCGCTGTTCGTACACCATGGCCACATCGGCGACGTATTCTTGTTTGGCCCGATGGCCGATATTATATGAACGTCCGTTGTTCGTCCGGGCGAGCTTATATTTGTTACTCAACCCAATTGACTCACCGCCACCGTCGCGTCATCCATTCGCCGGTGGGGGTGGACATCATCTTTTTCGGATCCGTCAGAAGAAGATAGGAAGTCTGCTTTGTTTTCTTGTTGGTCGTGTTGGTCTATGACTCTTCTCATTTGGCTCACGTTAGTGTTTGCCCTTTTCCTTCTGTTTGAGTTCAAGTATATGCTTACCTCGCTTGCCGGCTTCTCGTTACTGAAAAAAAACGAAACAGGCGCACTTATTCGAGAACGCCTAGCCGTTTTTCACAGGTTGGATTTTTCCGCTCTCCGTTTGACTACGGGTTTCTGAATGACGACGTGTTGACTCGCTTCAGCTGGTGACATTCATCGCCTCACTTTTCACTTTTAGTACATTGATTAATAATGAACTTTACATCCGTTCACCGCGTTTGCTCAGCGGACGCCGTTATAATCTTCGTCTTCGTGCTGTTGACTTGTAGCCGCACTTCCACTGCAGTGTCGCAAACTCTCGCGATGAATATCGAAAGGTAGGTTTCTTGCGGGGTTGCTCAGTAGCACGATACTATCGGCGTACTGAAGGTCTGTTAGTAATGACGTTGAGTATGTAGAACTGCGTCACCGTTTGGCGATCAATCCCTGGTGATTTGGGACGACCCTATTCCTTATTACCTTATACTATAGTCCGCCATGACGTATTAAGTAAAAGCACACTGGACATAAAGAATTTTTGTGCAGGGTGAAGGTTTCGTATAATGTTGCCTGTCTTTATCCGTGGCAGACAAACGTATTGTCGAATAGGTCAGCCGAAATCTTCGTACTGAACCGGAAAATCCTTCTCGACTTTACACATGAATTTTTTCGCAGTGTCAATCATCTATATGCGTATCATGCCTATTTAATTCGAAAGTTCTGTTTAACTTTAAACCGAATTAACAATTTTAATGGGAAAGTATTACCTGAATAATTCGTGTATATAACTCGCGCTTTTACGTTATATACATTTAGCTCTGAATAATTCGAAATTAAATTTATGAAACATAAAGTTCGTAAATAATACGTATCTGGATAAAATACATTTATATTTTCAGGATGTTATTTTTTACTACATGGCAGTATAACTCTCCGCACATTAACCGTGACATAGAACAGTTGTTTCATTTACTCTGACGTTTCGGTTTCCGGCACAGATGCCATTATCATCGACATTTTTTTGCAAAACATGCATATGCATACAGCATACTATGTCAGAAATACTTCCTTGATTGTAGCTTCTGTGCCGGATGCGGAAAAGTTGGAATAAAATAAAGGAGTATCTTATGTCACGTCCAATGCCCTTTGCATTTAAAAAAGTGAGGAAAAATATGTTTGATAATTGAGCAGAAGAAGAAACACTGTCAGAGGTTGCGAATGCTGCGGTTATTAGGTAAACTTTTCTCCGGATTTTAACCCTCTCTCTTAGAAACCTGTTTATGTCTTTTCGAATAAGGCACATCGCTTATGCGTCTGTTCACTACTTCTAATATGTAAGTGTTCATTGAGTAAGGAAGGACTGATTTATGTATCTTAACGGCAATATATGACAAGAGTTTTGCCAGACAGAGCTAGGCCCCGTCTTACTCAATAGGCGTTCAGATCGGCATGGGCTCAATTGCACTTTGGAGACATTGCCGACCTTCGACTTATCACGCGCGAAGGAATGCGTTGCTCAAAGGCATTTAGCTGAACATTTTGTTATTTCAATTGTTATTTATTTTTGTTTAAGTGTTATTCTCTTATATTTACAGCATGTCAGGTTCCACGTCGCATGCAGTGATGGCAACAACTAAACTGAAGGATCTCGGGGCGTATTTTATCTTCTGCCATGAAGACTTTTCATCAACTCAAAAAAGGCCCGCTAGCTCACCGATAGCAGTGCATTTTGTTAAATTTGTTTATGTCCATTAAGGTACACCTGTTGGTGAGAAGGATTCTCTGATTACAAACGCGAAAGCATCTATTGAGGGCCACCGTCTATAATTATTTTTGAAGAAAGCACCGTTTAAGTGATTGCGATTGTTAGGTGAGACTTTGAAGAATATAGTGTCGCCTGATGGTTGAGTTCTGGTAATCAAATGTAATCTTTCGCGCCATTTGGATGACGAAAACTTGAAAATTTGTGTATTTATGTAGTTATCACCGAATGACGGCAGCCATTGGTCAACGAACGAATACAGTTGCAATTCGCTAAGCAATTATTAAGTTCACTGTGTTTTTTAACCGATTTTTTTGTTTTACTTCATTTGACTGAGCCTGTATGATTTTCCCGCGTTTCCCGTCGATCGGGAAGTTGTGGCCCCTGC